GTCCCCTTATTGCTGCTCGGCATGTTCGCCGGTAAAATTTCACTGCCAAGCCTCTACTTCATGTACCATGTCTACGGTAAAACGCGTTTAATGTTGGCCAATCAGCTCTAGCTCTGTTTCTATACGTAATCTCTAGTCCATGACTTCATACGCCCTAGCCTCTTGTGTGCCAACCCACAAATGTTGTGGTTCTACTTGTTTTGATCATGTGAAACAGGAAGAAATAACCGCCTACGAGTCAAGGAATCTCAAAGCGACTGCCTACACATGGATATGGAAAGATCCGACGGACGGGACACGAAATCTTGTTGGAAATCGACAAAACCGCTTGCCACAAGCGGTGGAGACACATAAAAAAGGCCTGACGAAGACAGGATTAGCGAAATCTCTGCATATCGCATAGGCAGACTAGGAAGATCAGCAAAAAGAAGACGACTAGACTCAGGAAATATGTTCGCTTTGATGAAAAGAAATAGCAAAAGGGAGGCCAAAGAGGAACAATCAAGAAAGTTGGGTTTCGAGCAATCTCTTGTTTCGTAATTGTCGAGCCTACTTCCATTTCGAGTGGGAGTGTTGGGTGAAGAGATTCGAAGGTCGCTTCCACCAGACGACGACGGCGGATTCCTCTTGACCAGCTGTCGATTGGCTTTACTGAAAGGATCATGCTGACGCTGTTTCCGAGGCAAGCTCATTCGATTCCGGTGAAAAGGTTTTCTTGACTCGTTAGCTTGAATTTGTTCGTGACGATGGTACCCTGCTCTGATGATGTTCGTCAGGTGACGCACGAAAGCTTAGCACCTTTTCACCGGAACCGACGGAGATTGCCTCGGAAACAGCGTCAGCATGAATCTTCCATTAAAGCCAATCTACAGCTGGTCTTCTGGTGGAAGCGACCTCCGAATCTCTTCACGCAACACCTTCACTCGAAATGGAAGTAAGCTCAACGAACAATCAGTAGCCAAGAGTGAGTCTAATCGAACCAGCTCAGACCACTCGAACATTTGGGGGTGGAAACACAAGAAACAGGGACCTACAAAGTCGTAGACTTGGCATTATGGATGAAAGAGTGAAAGATGCCGTGGAAACAAGAGAAGCTGGGCTTGGAAGACTCCCTCATCTGAATGATACCGGCATGTCGTCATCACGACCGTAGGAGGGTGAGCCGAGGTCTTCTGGGCAAAATGCAACCGACAAAAGTCCAAAGCAACCCTCCGTCGGTATCCGGCGCGGCTAATCTGCCAACGGAGTGTAAGCTGTGCCCGTTTGGTCGTAGACGTCGTTGGCGAAGTAAGAGCTGCGATCATGACAATTGCTCGGAGGGATCTACAGCTCCAAGTTGGCTTCCCATCAATCCTGAGAGTTGAAACTTTTTGGGGCCTGTTCAGTGAGGCGAAGGTTTGCAACAGAATGAAATCCCTGAAGCCTGGCAGATAGCAGACGCCTCCTACATGGCAAGAGGGAGACGTTGATAGGACATGTTGGGAGTGGATCGCCGACCAAAAAGGTGGACCCGTATCAACACACCCAGCACAGCGGGGAGTGTGAATGTGTCCCACGAAATCCGCTCAAAATGGGCGCCTCAACTGGGTTGAAATAAGCAAGTTATAAAAAGTGTGACAGTGAAGGGGGATTCGAGGATGGGGGATGGGTGAATAGGTCAGGGGTACCATGACTGCTTAGCAGACAATTGGCCAAAGTATCGTCTTCATTTGTCGATACGAAGGATAACTGGGTTTCGAGGACTCTCTTGAGATGTCATTGTTGACAAGACCCTCATTTCGTGCG